GCCAAGCAGCTCCTATGATGCTGCTTGGCCTGCTGTGTTCATCCAGCCCTGCACCTTGTTGTCTCAGATTCTCCAGCATCTGCAGTTCCTACTATCCCTGGAGTATAATGTACAGTTTTGGACCTTATTTAAGAAAGGATATGTTTATCATAGAGAGAGCGCAGTGGAGGTTCACCAGATTAATCCCGGGAATGGCAGGACTGTCTTAAAGGAGATGTTAAGGAAACTGTGTCTGGACTCCTCAGAGTTTCAAAACTGAGAGATGATCTCATTGAAACTTTGAACGTTCTTACAGAGCGTGATAGTGTGGATGTAGACAGAATGTTTCCCCTGGCTGGAGACTCTAGAACCAGGATATATTGTCTTAGGATGTGGGGCAGGCCATTTTAGACTGAAATATGGAGGAATTTTTTCACACACAGGGTGGTGAATCTCTGGAATTCTCTAGCCCAGTGTAATATGGAAGCTCATTGAGCAGGTTCCAGACAGAAATCAATAGATCAACACAGTGTGGAGCTGGAGGAACACAACAGTTCAGGCAGCATCAGAGGAGCAGGAAAGTCAACATTTCACGTTTTCATCATTCATCAGGACTCAGTGTAAACCTGAAACGTCAACTTTCCTGCTCCTCTGATGCTGTGCGACCTGCAGTGTTCCTCCAGCTCCACACTGTATTGACTCTGACTCCAGCATTTGCAATTCTTGCTATCTTCCAGAAATCAATTCTGGAGATTCGTGATGCTGGGGATATGGAGATACTGGGGGAAAGTCGCATCATCAATGTGATGATTAACCATGATCCAGAATGGTGAAACAGGCACAACAGGGTTAGCTGAATGGCCAATTCCAGTTCCCTTCTTCCTGCCAACTTAGACATGAAACTCCAATATTTAGGAGGTCAAACTCGGTGGTGTCACATTGTACTCTCTCAGGGAGTGACCAGGGTTCAGAGTGTCAGGCTGTGTAAACAATTCACTTGAACCTGCAATGTCTTAGACAGACAGAAAGGACTTAATACAATGAACAATTTCACAAGCTTTATTTAAACAGTTCCAAACGAAAATCCAGGCTTACTAATAATGATTATTCATTCATTAACTGTAACCCAACTAAACACAAAAAGCTGTTCTGTCTGATTACTATCTGCATGCAGTGACTGGATTAATATATGTGCCACATGCAAAATGGCTGCATTGGGCATATGTTAACGTCAAAGTGACTTCCTTGGCCTTGTTAGTTATTACAATGATTACAATGTAAATATGGACCCAAAGTGGTCACGTGCGGGGAGTGAGGGAGACTCTGGGATTGGACCAGGTGGGATATGACTTAGATATGAGTTAGACTCCCTACAGTGTGGAAACAGGCCCTTTGGCCCAACAAGTCCACACTGACTCTCACAGCATCTCACCAGACCCATCCCCCTCTCGTCCACCTATTCTACACATCCCTGAACACTATGGGCAATTTAGCATGGCCAATCCACCTCGCTTGCACATCTTTGGACAGTGGGAGGAAACTGGACCACCTGGAGGAAACCCACTATTGAAAAGTGTGGGAAGTGAGGGGGAAAGAGTGGGATTGGACCGGGTGAGAGATTGAAAAGTGCGGGAAGTGAGGGGGAAAGAGTAGGATTGGACCGGATGGGAGATTGAAAAGTGCGGGAAGTGAGGGGGAAAGAGTGGGATTGGACCGGGTGGAATATTGAAATGTGTGGGGGATGAGGGGGTAGAGTGGGATTGGACCGGGTGAGATATTGAAGGGTGTAGGGAGTGAGGGGGAGTGGTATGTTGGGAATGCGTTATTGATTTTGGCCAAATCCCCGTAAACTTATTCCTACTGGGCCTCCAGGAGAACGCCCTGGAAATTCAAGGCTCCTCGTCCACTCCATGTTCGTCCCTGAATGAGATTGACCCAGATTTGGTCGTGCCTGTTGAGGGTCAGTATTGCTGGCGTGGATGCTGTCTGGGCTTGATTTGGTGTCAGGATACTATGGATGTAACTCAGGTCATCATTATTTTTCATCAGGCGCACCTCGGTGTTGCCTGAGTCTGTCATCCCGAGCAGTGAGTAGGTGAAGTAGTAGATCCCAGCCACAGGAGCAGTGAAGATCCCAGTTAAATGGTTATAGGCAGAACCTTTGTTCACAATAATCGTGTCGTAGACTATGCGTCCTTGTCCAGCTGGGTTCAAGCCATCGGACACCTTGGCGTGGAAAATGATGCTTGGCACATCTGGAAATGAAGGTTACATTGGAATGAGAGACCAGGAAGAATGCAGGCTACAGTAACAACAACAATCTGCATTCACCTCACACCTGTAATGGCATTAACCATCTCAAGATTCGTCACTCAAGAAAAACAAACCTGGCCCTGGGCCACTCAGAGATAGTAAGAACTTCTGATCCTGGAGTCAGAGATGAAACAGTGTGGAGCTGGAGGAACACAGCAGGTCAGGCGGCATCTGAGGAGCAGGAAAGCTGATGTTTCGGGTTGGGACCCTTCTTCAGAAAATCAGCTTTCCTGCACGTCTGATTCTGCCTGACCTGCTGTGTTCCTCCAGCTCCACACTGGTCCTGGGCCACCTCAGGGGCATCTCAGGAACAGTGATAAGAAGCTCACTTGAAGAGGTTGGTTTTTCAAAAGTGCCTGAAAGGAAGATACAGAGACAGAAAGAGAGACAGAGAGGGAGGGAAAGATGGTGAGATTTAGGGACGGATTTCCGTAGCTCACTGCTCAAGACAGCTGAAAGAATAGCCTTCAATGACAGAGCAATGGGAACCAGGGGATGCTTGAGAGGCCAAAATTGGAGCAATGCGAAGATCCTGGATGGTTACAGGGGCTAGAGGAGGCTACAGAAATAGGGAGGGTGTAATGGCTGGAGGAGGTTGCAGAGATAGGGAGAGATGTAGGTGCTAGAGGAGGCTAGAGATAGGAAGCAACTGTAAGGGCTGGAGGATTTTACAGGGACAGTGGAGTTGTAGGGGCATTTTTTTCAATCATGGGATGTGCTGTCAATCAAGTGGGCTGCTTTGTCCTGAATGATGTCGAGCTTCTTTAATGTTGTCAGAGCTGCATCCATCCAGGCAAGTGAGTATTCCATCACACTGCTGACTTGTGCCTTGTAAATGGTGGAGAGGCTTTGGGAGTCAGGAGAATGAGTTACCTGAAGCAAAATCCCTGGACGCTGTCATCTCAGTATTTATATGGTTAGTCGAAGTCAGTTACTGGTGAAAGGTAAACCTCAAGTTATTGATTGTGGGGAATTCAGTGATGTCAATGTCATTGAATTTCAGAAAAGAGGTAGTTAGGTTCTTTCTGAAAAGAGGTAGCTAGATTCTCTCTTGTTGGAGATGGGCATTACCTGGCATTTGTGCGGCTCAATGTTTGTTAGTTTTAATGATTCATGTTTTAGCAAGCAGCACTGATGCCCTGTTGCTATCGGCCTCTGAGACATGGACAGCCAAAACCTCAAAACAAGGTGAGGTTCCCCAGAGGCAAATTCTTCAACTCCAGGGGCAGAAAAGATGGCCCAAGAGCAGACATTACTGGAATCAACATGGCTGGAACCAAGGAGCTGATCACTCAAAACCAGCTAAACTGAGTGGGACACATCTGTCAAATGCCAACCAAACCAGATCCTGCCTAACTCAGAGATCAGTCTGGGCCAGAGACTCCCAGGAGCACTGGGGAAAACCTTTATGGATGGCATCTACACAATCCTGACGAGGGGAAACATCCCCAGTGATTGGTGGAACAGCCTGGCTTGCAATTGAGATGAAGAAACCTTGTTCAGGAAGGTACTGGACTGGAGGAACCTTAGAAATATCACACCAAATATATTCTCACTTACGTTTCTGCAGAGTAGTGACCTGCTCGTCCAAATTTGCAATTCTATCGTTCAAGATGTCCAGCTGTTTCAATTTATCAATGGCGTCTTTTACATCCTGAAAGGTCAACTGAAACAAAATACAAAATATTAAGGTTTCATATTCAGAAAGGCATGCAGAGGTGGAAAGAGGTCCCTCAATGTCAGTGCAGCACTGCTTCAGCACTGAGCCTGAGGCAGTGCAGCATTCCCTCAGTTCCTGGCCTCAGACTATGCAGCATTCCCGCAGTGCTGAGCCTCAGATAATGCAGCATTCCGTCAGTGCACACCCTCTGACACTGCAGCACTCCCTCAGTGCTGACTGTCAGACAGTGCGGTGCTCTCGCAGTACTGACCCTGCGACAGTGCGGCACTCCCTCAGTACTGACCCTGTGACAGTGCACCACTCACTCAGTACTGACCCTGTGACAGTGCACCACCCACTGAGTACTGACCCTGTGAGAGTGCGGCACTCGCTCAGTACTGAGCCTGTGATAGTGCTGCAATCCCTCAGTACTGACCCTCTGACAGTGCAGCACTCCCTCAGCACTGACCCTCTGACAGTGCAGCACTCCCTCAGTACTGACCCTCTGACAGTGCACCACTCACTCAGTACTGACCCTGTGATAGTGCTGCACTCCCTCAGTACTGACCCTCTGACAGTGCAGCACTCCCTCAGCACTGACCCTCTGACAGTGCAGCACTCCCTCAGTATTGACCCTCTGACAGTGCAGCACTCCCTCAGCACTGACCCTCTGACAGTGCAGCACTCCCTCAGTACTGACCCTGTGACAGTGCACCACTCACTCAGTACTGACCCTGTGATAGTGCTGCGCTCCCTCAGTACTGACCCTCTGACAGTGCAGCACTCCCTCAGTACTGACCCTGTGACAGTGCAGCACTCCCTCAGTACTGACCCTCTGACAGTGCAGCACTCCCTCAGCACTGACCCTGTGAGAGTGCGGCAC